TGGGTCACGTCGGCATTTACACGGGGTGGGTGGGCTGGCCAGACTGAGCTGAGTTGGTCATGGAGCTTCCAGACCTGGCAGGCCAGCGTGATGGTGGACACCAGCAGCGCCGTACAGATCAACAGCACGATTCCCAGAGCCAGCAGCAGCCAGCCAGTGTGTGACTTACCCCCAGGGCTCAGGTTGGGGGTGGGGCTATGCTTAGGGGGAGTGGCCTCGAGGCTGGTGACACTGGTGGTAGCTGGTGATTCGCTGTTGTCGCCGCTGTTGTCGCCGCTGTTGTCGCCGCTGTTGTCGCCAACTTCATAGAACTTATACAGTCCATCATCTATATCCTCAGTGTTTTCCTGAATGTCGGGCAAAGCATAAGCATTGGACCCGTGTATCACCAGCCCAGCCACGAGGAGAGCATGTAAGATCCAGGAATCCATGCCTGTGAGGGGCGGAGCACCAAATAGTGTAAAGTCACCAGGATCCGGCGCATAATTTAGGTCACTTTCAATTTCACTGCCACTGTCCCCCATCCAACCACCCCCCCCATTTGGGGAAGTTTCCCGTTATTGCTCCCAATGACTTTCGGAGGATCATTAAGAATGCAGTGATGAACAATCACAAATTAATTAATGCTACAAATATTAAAATCCACAGAAATACAACCTTATCCATAAAAGCCAGAATTATATCCATGTTTTTTTAACTAACATGATTCCTCGGTGAAGCAAACAATACCTACATTTATTCGGCTTATCTTCCGTACGCCGGGGTCAGATCTGGGGGGGTGTGTGAGTGTGTGTATTTCCATGTGTGTGTTCAGGCGGGATGCAGATGTGTGGTGCTGTGAGGTGTGTGTCTGTGTAAATGAGTGTTCTGTAGTCATACATCAGTAATATGCGTCTGTTTCAACTAATATGCTCCACAGTCTCACTTTGAAATTAGCCCCCCCTTGCTTAGATCATCACCGCCAGTCAGAGAGACAGCTGTATAAATGAAGCCACTCTCAGATTGATCCTCTCCCCTCCTGGGCCACCTTAGGCATCATTACTCATGACAGCAAACAAAAATAAAGTGGGGCCCAGTGCCCCATAAGCCAAAGCACACTTTACCTGCCATGATTTGTCGGCCGTGGAGCAGGCGGGCTTCTGTGGGTGCGGTGGGGTAGTTTGCTCTGACTTGCAGAATGTGTTGTGCTGAAACCCAAAGAGTGAGGCGAATAACACGTTGACAAATGAGGTAAATAGCAGACCCCCCCACCACCCCCCCTGCTTCAAAACTGACTTCCTTGAAAGTGGTTTGTGGTTTTCCTAGGCATCACACACAAGAACGCAGCTGGCCGTCCGACGGCAACTGGTGGTCTTGTCAGGCAGGTCTGTGGGGCGTGTCCCATTGGCTACACTGACCCCCCCCCACCTGGTGGCAAAGTCTAGGAAGAGGGACCTATCAGTAGGACTACCAGAACCCTGATCTGCCTGATCTGTTATAAATCATGGTGTCTGATGTTTGCACACTAGATGAGCTTATAAGAGTTCAACAGGAGGAACCCGTCTGATATCTTAGCTGAAGCACCCTACGGTTTCTCTTCCCCCCCCCCACCCCCGCCCCGAATCTGTCTGTCAGCAAGGCCCATGGGGGTTTGCAGAAGAAGCGACTTTTACACATCTCCTGCAAGAACATCTGCCTGAGGAGCGGTAGCTGATGCTGAGCTGTGACTTCCTGTGATGTTAGCTCTCTGCAGAGGGGACACCGAGCTCTGGCCTCGTCTGTGACAGGATCCACTGAGCTGTCAAGTTCACACACACACACACACACGCACACACACACGCACACACACACACACTCCAGATGAGGCTCTTGTGTGTCCTGGTCTGTGTTACGGCTAAATGTATACTCAAGCGCAACCTTCCCTGCAGGATACGCAGTCTGAGCTTCAGCGGCTGCGAATGACCCTGCCCCCCCTCCCATCGATGGGGAGTCCCCCCCCCCCACCTCATACCAGCCCTCCTACACTTTAGTGGGGCCAAGACCTGCAGATAGAGAAGCAGCGTGATGGTTTAAGAAACAGCATCAGCATCGCCGGCGATTCAGCTTATTCCTCTGGCTGTACGCTGATCAGTGTCGCCCCCCACTGCTCCCCTTGCTCTGAACAGTCTGCCCTGTTACGCGCCGCTGTTTGTCCGGCTCCGCCCACGGCCAGGTCCACTCAGCTCGGCCCTTGCTCCGCCTCCTCGTCTGGACCCCGCCCACGACTCCCCACAAGGTTTATTATTGGTTTGCTTTCTTTGAATGGATTATTGTGTATGACGGTTTCCGTTTATTGCTTTACGATTATTCGCTTTGCCCTTTTCTGTACCATTTTTGTTTGCAAGTTTTTGTGTATGCTGTTGTTTGGTTGGGGAGTGAGGTGTAGCACTTGTTGTTTATGTTCTTTGATTTCTCTAGAACGTAGCTAAGTTAGATTTGGGTTGCGTTCGGTAGCTGGGTTTTCTGTTTGTTATTTGGGCTATAATCACTCCTGAGTCCTTTTGCACCGGGTTTGTTTGTTCTGTGTCTGTCGCGTGAAAATAAAATCAGAAAAATACAAAAATATACCCCTTTGTCCACATATGTTCCCCTGTGCACCACACCCTGTGTTTCCCTTATTCCCCTTTCCCTTCCATTCTGTTACGCAACAACCCTAGACTGGGGCTCGTAACAGCCAACATTAACTCTCCACTCCACCACCTCTGTCCCCGGATTTGGCTCCAATGGGCCTGGGAGGTCAGCAGAGCCCTTTGTGACGGTTCCCAGGTCCTCAGAACCTTTTAGATCCTCCATCTGTTTGTTCCCTCCCACCTTCCCTCTTCTGTCTTGCAAACGCATGCAAACGATCTTTTCTCTCCTCCTGAACCTGACAGACAGCAGGCAGATGTTCAGGAGCCTGGTGGTTTATCATAGCGGAACAGTGAGGCTGAGGTTCGAGAGGGTGACAGGTCCCGTGCGGGGGCCGTAGGCAGGGATCGAAAAGTAGTGAGGTCAGGGACCCAGGGTTGGGGGGGTTGGGTCTCATGAATCACACATTACAAACAGGAGGCCTGTTTTCTGGGCGATAGGCAGTGCTAAATGAGAGTTCATATCAATAATTTATAGTTTAGCTTACAGCAAGTTATGTAGAGCTTTTATATGAATGTGCCTGAATGAATTTAGGTCTCTATCATTAGAACATTACAGAGCAGTAAAATTATCATGCTAAAGAAGCAGGTAATTTAAAGTTATCTGTAACCATATATATGGATAAAAATTAAAGAAGTGCTTGACATTAACACACCATTACAAGTCAACATCAAATACAAATGTTTTGACATCCAAATTTGGTTTGAAATTTTAATATGGACACTATAACTGATGTGGTCCCCTTCATAAGCTGTTTATTATTTTTTTATTATTAATGGCGTTCTGTGAAATGTTAGTCTAATCTAGTCCATTAGGTGTAATATGAAAGAAACCCAACATTTAACATGGGCAGAGTAGCCTCATGTAATCTTTTCCCCAGACACGATTTTCACGTCACAGTTGGGTTTTTTTTATAGATAACGATCATTGTTATGTCTAACCGAATGATATTATGCAGCCTGTGCACCCCCCACCCACAATGCACACCCACACAACATATCCGAACTGTTTTCAGTGTGATGTGCTGCATGCTGCTCCGGAGGAATGCATCATCTATCCTGTCGATACTGAATGCTCGCTCTCTCTCTCTCTCTCTCTCTCTCTCACACACACACACACACACCAGACACTATTAATAACACAGTTAAACTGAATTAAGAATGCACTTAGCCCACGGACATTTTCAACTGCTGACTTTTTTTTCAGGTAAATATTTAGCTTCAAATTTTATTTTTAAATCTTACAAAATTGGTGACTTCATAGCCGGCTTCGGGACTTGTTCCATGCGGTGACTGGTGGTGACCTTCCCATGACCCCACTCCACCTCTCAGGAAGGAAGCAGAACTGATTGTGAAGTTCCTGTGTGCTGACTGACACCTACCTGCCCGGGGGTGGTGGGGGGGGGTCTTCATCTGGCTGACACCCCCCCACCTCCACAGCCAACTCAGCATCACCACAAACCTCAACATCTTCAGCTCTATGACCTCACTGGCCACGTCTCAGCATTCAGGCTGTGATAAACATACACAGAAAGGCAATTCACACATTTCAGTTTTAATATGGAAGACTGCAATAGATACCTAAGGGAATTTGCAGTCCATATCAACAGCCTTATGGGAAATGAAGTTTCTGATCTCAGAATATTGCTAGTATGCAAGACCATCCTGCATCGCCACTTTCTCCGCTCTTTGTCTTATCTTTAAAAATGTGTACTTCCGTCCCAGCGTTCCCCTCATCTTAAACATGACTATTTTCTGTTATGGCTGTGCAGGGCATTGTGGGAAGGCCATCCTCACCTCAGACCCTTAAGGTCCTTTGAAGTGCTGCCCGGCATGTGCCTGTTCTATAAGACTGAGCCCAGTTTCATCACAGCATATCAGTGTCCTCTTGGAAATCTTGAGTTTCTCATCTATCCTCAAAATTTCCCTTCTTTAACATTTTGAGGAAGGATGTCGGCTTTTACTGGCTGTTCATGTATTTCCTTCTGCTATATTTATATTTTAGTTGTCGCTATCCTGTCGTCATAATCCTGCACTCTTGGCTTCTATCACCCACTTCAGTCATGTAGTTCCTCTGCTTCAGCCTCACGCCACGACGCCCCCTGCTGCTGCTCCTCAGGTACTGCCCCTCAGCATCCTCCTTCTGCTGCACCCTCACCACCAATCAGATCATCCCATAATCTAACCTACCAATCAGATTATCCCACAACACAGCCAGGTACTAACCATGTTAATTAGATCACACCCAAATCCAGTCAACGACCTTTATTTTCAGACTAAAACGAAACGATAACTAAATAATGATGCATGGACACTTTCGTCAAGGAATAAAAACGAGACGAAAATTTTGCCAGAGACGAGATATAATAAGAACTAATGCAGTCCGCGTAAGGCAGGGGTATTCAACTAAAATTTAAAGAGGTCCAGTTAGAGAAAATTTCTTGATGCAAAGGTCCGGTGTTCTGTTGAGTTGAGCTACTTTGTCGAGTTAGGCTACCGTAGTGCTAATCGATAGCCCTAACCCTAACTCTTGCCCTTATCCTAACCCTAACCCCCCAAAAAACCCCAAAACCCTTAACCTAACCCTAACCCCTAAAACCTAACCCTAACCCCCAAACGGTGGAACTGCACATGCGCAAAAAGGCTCGATAGTACGCCTCGATAGGTAGCTCAACTCGTCAGAACACCTGAAGATCGTAATGTCTAACTATTTTTAGTATGATATATATTTAAGTAACCTGTTGGTTGTATCAACATTGCATGTAATCAATATCAATATCTGACTGTCAAATCAAATTAATTCAATACAATTTAAAAACTTGTTGTCACATGACATAGAGCTGAACATATATGTATGACTGCCGATATGTATAATGTTTTCTCATTTACTAGTTTTAAAAGGAAATTTTAAAAGTAGGGCTGCATTTCAAAATGAGATAAAATAAAATGTGAGAATTGTGCATGTTTGAATAAAGTGCTTAACCTAAACCATAAAACCCAAATACAATCATTTTTTGTCATATATTTTAGTGTTCATGGATTTAAGTATTGCTTTCGATAATCCCACACCGTTAATAAAATTAAAGTCTCGTTTTAATATACACACGAACTTATCACTTCAATCGCTATTAGAGTAGGAAATGGGCGGTCATATTATTTCGAAACAGGTTATAAAACGCAACGTGTTTTTCTCATATACGTTTCATATTTGTCGGAGTAACAACGCAAACGGAATGATGTGCCGTTCCAGGCGAAAACAGCGCATTTCACTTTTCATTTCAAACAAAACGCGGGGTTGCCGACTTCGGCCAGCTGGCTGGAGTGAGATATTCAGTTCGAGATGTCTGCAGACAAATGTTACAGTTCTTACCTTGTAAATAGTCTGCTTTTGTATTTAAAATTGTACATACACTTTTGACGTAGCTAATTTTAGGTTTATAATGGAATAATATAGATTTGTCGTAAGATTTCCCGCGTGAGTCTGAAAGCGTGAGTGTCATTCCAGATACTTGACATTTGGCAACCCTGAAAACGTGCATTTTTTGTTTCACCGGAGTTGATTTATATAACAAATAACATTACTTTATACAGTTGTTAAAAAGCGGAAACTTCAACGAACATGAAATCACATAAAAGAGAGGAGAGTTGATTTTTGGCTCTATACACTAATGGAACTGCAGCCTTGATGTAATTATTTTGATGTTGAAAATGCTAAAATAGAATAGTTGCACTTTCTGCTACTGATAGCCGTTGATGTTTTCATCCATTTTCCAAACCTCTTATCCGTCTGGGTCGTTGGGGGTCCGGAGCCTATCCTAAAGGCTATGGGCATGAGGTGGGGATCAACCCAGGATGGGGGGCCAGCCCATCGCAGGACACACTCACACACCATTCACTTGCACAGGCACACCAATGGGTAATTTAGTAACTCTAATTAGCCTCAGCATGTCTTTGGACTGTGGGGGGAAACCGGAGTACATGGAGGAAACCCCACGACGACATGGGGAGAACATGCGAACTGCACATACGTGTTACCCAGGCAGAAACTCGAACCCGGGTCCAAGAGGTGTGAGACAACAGTGCTAATCACTGCACCTCCATGCTGCCCCGAAGTATGTTTTCAATGTTTGGATTTTTTTTTCTTGATAATGGGTATAAATCCCTGAGAGCATTATTGGTCTTTTTCTTTGAACATATTTGAGAATTTCAGGTGAAACATTTAACAGCAAACAATAGCAAATAAAAATATTTCAAATATTTATTTTAATATTTTTATTTTAATATTCAGAAACAGCAGGCCTGGTGGCATTATAGCTTATGCACTTTTTCTGATTTTATTGTGATTTTCTTTTTATTTTCTATGCATTAATGGCACTACTGATTTTACAGTTTCTAGGTAAATAAACATATGTTTGTGTTTCAAATAAGAGTGAAATCTGTGTATTTGTGTACTGTACAGTCAGACCTTAACACCATTCCTTAACATTGGTTTCATTTCATCCTGGTGAACATAATGACTTTCAGAAATCGAAGGGAAACTTCAAACATTATACTTTGCACTTTTAATTTTAGTCGACTGAATCAACTGTAGTTTTAGTCGACTGTAATCTTATAATATTTAGTCAACTAAAACTAAAATAATTTAGATGACTAAATTATGACTGAGACTAAATTACATTTTAGTCAAAAGACTATGACAAAAACTAAAAAAAAAAATTTGCTGTCAAAATTAGCACTGCTGGGTACCACCACTAATGAAAATACTTCCATGAACCACTAGAGGGAGCTCACATGCCATAGTTTAAGAACCACTGAGATAAAGATTAAAAATCTTTGTGGTATTAGTAACTTTAGGTCTTCAAAGGTAAGAAAGATCATTTTAATAATAAGGGCTATAATTAGGGAGACAGATGAAAACAGTTCCCAATGCTTTATCCTGTGGAGGGGCAACATTATTTTGGCCTTCCTCTACTCCCCCAAGTTTAAATGTAGCATGCAGTGACTGTCCTTTCAGGTGCAAATTAAACAAAAGCATTAACTGTTAGCCTGTTAGCGCATTCGTTAGCACTATGACGTTGTGTCAGCAGGTGGCTCTCAGGTCAGACATTCAGGACGCAGTCTGAGGAGGGGTCAGCAGGGGGAGCTGTGGGGACGACGGCGGCTTCTGTCTCCTGGACGTCAGCATCCACGCGAAGCGTTTTCTCCGCCGTGTTCTCGGCCTCCTCCATCATCTTCTCCATCTCGGTCTCCATCACCTCGCTGGCCTTCCCGACCCTGATCACGTCGGCATTTACACGGGGAGGGTGGGCTGGCCAGAATGAACACAGCTGGTCATGGAGGTTCTGGACCTGGCAGGGAAACATATGAGTGGACACCAACACCACCGTACAGAGCAACAACATGATTCCCAGAGCCAGCAGCAGCCAGCCAGTGTGTGACTTACCCCCAGGGCTCAGTTTGGGGGTGGGGCTATGCTTAGGTGGAGTGGCCTCAAGGCTGGTGGTGAGAACGGAGGTGAGGTTGGTGATGCTGGAGGCAGTGGTCACGTTGAGAACGGATGAGAGGTTGGTCATGATGGTGGGGGTGGTCACGTTGAGAACGGATGAGAGGTTGGTCATGATGGTGGGGGTGGTCACGTTGAGAACGGATGAGAGGTTGGTCAT